ACTTTTGTTGAGTTGTGGGGGTCCCGTTCACGGAGGGAGAGCTTTTTGATGCTGTAGTTGGGGGAGCGACCAGAAGAGGAGAACTCTCTTTCATCGTTTGATCGCTTGTGAAATACACGGCTTGAGTTGTGGCGGCGCCTGACTTTGTGAATGTCATAGGCGACATTGCGTAAATTGAATGGAGAGACAGCGTCCGGTTAAGAACACTTGTTGTGTAGCTTGAAGCTTTACTTTGTGTTGCATTGAGATCTGCGAAGGGTGGCGACTGTAAAACACTCTTTGGCCGGGACTTGCGGCTCATTGAAAACGAGATGAGAGTATTTTGTACATGTGAGACGGTGTTTGTTTCTGCGTCTACACTTGACGTGGTATTCATTGTGGTTGCCGTTGTCATCGGTCTAGTTTGGTTGTTACTAGAAATTTGAAAACTTGACCGAAAAGAAAATGTTCGGGTTGCTGTTGTTGCATTTGTTGTTGTAGATGCCGATTGTGTTGTTTGTCCCGACTGGGAAGACGATGGTATCTGTAATACTTCTGAAGATGATGACTTTTGTTGAGTTGGGGTGGTGCCGTTCACGGAGGGAGAGTTTTCTAATGCTGTAGTTGAAGGAGCGATCAGAAGGGAAGAACTCTCTTTTATTGTATGATCGCTTGTGAAATACACGACTTGAGTTTTGGCGGCACCTGACTTTGTGAAGGTCATAGGCGACATTGCGTAACTTGAATGGAGAGACAGCGTCCGGTTAGGAACACCATTTGTGTAGCTTGAAGCTTTACTTTGTGTTGCATTGAGATCTCTAAAAGGTGTCGACTGTAAAACACTCTTCGGCCGGGACTTGCGGCTCATTGAAAACGAGATAAGAGTGTTTTGTACACGTGAGACGGCGGTTGTTCCTGCGTCTACAACTGGCGTGGTGTTCATTGCTGTCGCCTTTCTCATTGGTCTGGTTTGGTTGTTACTGGAGATTTGGAAACTTGACGAGGGAGAAAATGTTTGGGTTGCTGTTGTTGCATTTATTGTTGTAGATGCTGATTGTGTTGTTTGTCCCGACTGGAAAGACGATAGTATCTGTAATACTCCTGAAGATGATGACTTTTGTTGAGTTGGGATGGTGCCGTT